ATTGATCCTACGACCGGCCCTTGCGAAAGTTTTTCTTCCAAATTGCAGACCGAATAGACTAACGACGGCGCCATCGAGCTCTTTTGTAAGACATAGTAGGTATATTGCATATATCTGTATTGTATGATATGACATAATTTTCAAATATAATTCACCAAACAATATAGACCAGTGACAAAAAAAAAAAACAATAATAATTAGTGTGAAACATGCTTTCGTCTCAGGAAGCTATTGTCATTGTTATTAACCAACATTTGCTGAAAACGAGCAGCAAGTTTTATCAAGTGTGACGCAAGCGCATCAAACCATTAAGGTGAGTATATTATAATGCCGCTGGCGATGTTATCTCGAGGGTTTAGTGAGTATCTATACTTGTTACATTAACTGTGTCTATTATAAGCAATTAAGTTTATTGGCGGAATATCACGTGTTAACCCTTTTTTTTCGCCGCCCGGTTTTACTATCGTAGAATCGTTTCAGTCTTGATAAGATTGCGTTTATCAGTTGATGGTAAAGATTAACTACTATTTGTTTTGTAATCATAATATGTCGCTTCTACAGTTATACAAGTAGTTGCTTAAGGACCTGTAAAAGCATTCCAAAGATAGATATAATAATAGTGTCTTCTATTTGAAATAATATCTTCTGTTTGAAATGTCTTCTGATGATTTGTTGTTAGAAATGCTATTAATAATAGTATTTTTTTTCTCTTGTAAAGGTACATTGCACAGATACTATCAGTATAGAATTTATATTTCAAACACACCTTGCATGTTATATGTGTTAAGGGACATTAAAATAGCTTTATTTGGAAGTGGAAATGTAATTAACGAATTAAATCTACATGCAGCCAGTTGTACAAACGTCCATTATAATTTTCATTAATTTAAAGCGACGTTACCCATTGATTAGAGCTTAAAGGCGTAATTAAATCTTAATAGACGTTTGTGCAATGGATTTGTGTTATAACAACTTGGCATCAAAAGAAATAAAGTATTCTTGTGAAATTGTTAAATATGATAGTTAATTTTTAAATTTTAATAAGAACAGATAGTAAATTAAGAGTGTGAAGCTATTATAACTGCTACTGTAACAAGACAATATGTGATAATTACTGCGAATCACGGTGGCAGGAAATGCTAAGTAAACGCCGCTGTAAAACATTAGAACAATGGAGTTAACCGCAGTTCCGTTATACTGGGAACTGTTTTTATTCAGTGCGCCAACATTTTGTGAGTAAAAACAATAACTTAGGAAGCGTCGACCACACAAAACAGGTAGCGAGGCGATGCTCACCCTGCGTGCCCAATTTATTCCACATCCGCTGTATTAAGTTACAAAAGTTTCATAAATAAAAAAAACTTTTTGGTGAACTCACAAGGCGATCAGTTGCCAGATGAGCTGTGAAACCAACCCCTCCAGTAGTCAGGTAGTCAACCCACGAAGTTTACAAACGGCGGTCGCTCGCGACAATGGGTGGTGCTCATTGCAATTTTTTGTCACATTTCACAGTCCGACCGCAGAAGACAGGTGGATAGATTAGCAGCGTACACAATAAGCGTAGTGTAAGGCCCATAAAATAGTTATTAGGTCGCACACCAGTTAAATGTCGTGCCAATCACTTTATCACACACTTGGTGTTCACAGACATTCACTATAAGTTTGTTCACTGTAATCCAGTTCGTGTTGCTGTAAGTTTTTCTCTTATTTTGAATTTTATGATGCGCGTGCGCCGATGACACGCGACTGGTGGGAGTTGAGCGCGCGTACTACTACTGCGCCCGTGTCGAAGGCGGTAGCTGCAGTCCCCTCCCCTCGCCAACCGAAGCCTTCACCGTTTTTACTTTGGGAGCGATAAAAAAGGGATATCGCTGTATTGTTTATTTTTCGTGTTAGTAGCTTATAATATGTGTCTTGTAAATTTAAAGTCGCCCTCGAACGTCGGTTACAGATACAAACATCATGAATTTTGTTCGGTGTTGCTAATTGACAGCGTTGTTTTTACATAATTTTTTTATTATATTGTTGTGTTATATCCTTTTAAAAAGTGAGATTAATATCTTAGTTAAAACCTTATTAGAGTCTAAACCTTATTAGAGAAAAGGAAATGAGAGATCCAACTATTCTTTTTCATCTGTCAATTATATCAACTTTATTATTGTTTTATATCGATAAACAGAAAAAAAAATAAAAAACGCTAAAAAGTCACGTAATAAACAGCCTGTTGCAGAAACGTCCATTAAAATTTCCATTAGTTTAAAGTGATATTACCCATACAAATTTGACATTCATTAGAGCTTAAAGGCGTCATTAAACCTTAATGGACGATTGTGCAACTGACCGAGAGAGTTTTAATCTTAAAGTTTAAATTACTATTTAACTTCTTACTAATGACACGGCTGGCAACCATCGACCTACCCGAGACCCACTCGAGATCAAAAATCAAATCATACAGTACATGATTTGATTTTTCAAGCACTTGTTACTCTTTGCTACTAGTGAACGTATTTTCATCGCTGTTCAGGCATAGAGCAGTTGCCCGGATTGCGAAAGGTACCTGGAGATAGTAGATTTTTTAACCATTTTTCATTAAATATATGTAGTAAAATGTTGATGGCAATACATGCTTTTATAAATTTATAAATTTTCTTTCATGCAACCTTTCAACCCTTATTTTATCTTTCCATGTATAATCATTAATCACTTACCAAAAAAAACAAATATAGGTGTGTCTAACTAAAAAATGACGATCCAACTTCAGTAGTTTAAGCTTGGCGATGAATCAGTCTGTAAAACTGTGTGGTAACGCTACCACGTTCAACATGCATCATTTCTATACTAATAAAATGTAGATGAATTGTACATAATAATGTTATGTATAATAATAAAAATTGTACGTTGTGCTTTTCAGTGTAATACATAAGGTAAAACGATGTTTTTTAACCAATAAAACCAAAATATTATATTAAAAAAATGTACATTAATTGTACGTTCTATTGGCATAATTTTTTTCTTGTACTTTTTTAATTTAATAATAAAATAAAATAAAATTAAATTAATAAAATATGAAGGTAAACAAGTTCAATCCATTGGAGGCGTTTGAGATGTTGGTCAATGGTGTTGGATGACTAGGAAAGAAGGGAAAAGAATCGCATTGCAGATCTAATAGTGAAATAAAAGGGCCTTCTCCTTTCATTAATTATTACCAGTCATTCCCATTGGTTTTATTACAGCGTATAAGTACAAAAGTTTACCACAAAACCTACTTTCTTAATTGATTCTGAACTCTATTCACTACACATTATAAGCCATGATCCGTTGACTGAGAGGTACATACTTTGAGGAATAAAAGAATAACTATGACCAAACATATCTATATAATATTGTAAACAGTATAGTAATGATTTAGTGCTCAATTCATTATTCTGGAACATTCTGAAGATTATCAGAAATGAATTATTGCAGAAATATAAGACCTTTCAAGAACAGAAGTTCTAGATAAAAACTACTTTGCAAAAATAAAGGTAAATTATCCTTCTTGTGTCGTACTTAGAGTAAGGCTATTTGTGAAAAGAAGAGAGAATATTATCACTCTAAGAAGTCTCATATTCAAATATCATGATGGTAGAGTAGACTGTAGAGCTTTATTTACCAAACAACACAAATAAAAACAAGTATTTACATAAAATGGGTAATAAAAACACATTCGTTATATATTTTTCGTACTTTATTACAACGAAATCTAGTGTACGATCACATATATATTCAAAAAATGTCTTGCTTTAAGACTGATTTACCTTTAAATTGAAAATTCAAGTAAATAGCAATACAAATAAAATGACTATCATTAAAAAGTATATTTGACACAAAACTTTGGCAAATTCGCTCCTGTAACTTAAAATGTTTCATCAATTAAAAATAGGCAAACTTATTATTAATTATTATTGAAATTATAATATGTAATACATTAATATCCCATAACAATTTTAATAAGTAATCTGCTTTACTTATTTACTGAACACATTTATAGCTATATAACATTATAATGTTGATAAATCTATAAATTATTAATAAACACTAAATTATTTCTCATTATAACGTGCATTTATAAACTTGCAATAATATAAAACAAAGTTATAATTATAATAAATGCCTATTATAACACTCACTAATATACAAGGCTAATCTAAAAGCTTGTTTTACCATTCTGTTTACATTCAAGTCTTTTTTATTTTCATTATTTAAATATATTTGAGCTTTAACGTGATTATCTATATACATATCCGTCGTAGTGGTATCGATACCCACGATTTAATCATTCGTTTAATGCACAATTTTAAGTCACCTAGTATGGACCACATCCTAAGGGGAAACAATTATCATTATTATATAGAACTATATATATATATATATATATATTTAATTACACATCGAATCTGATAAACGATAAATATCTGTAACCCCCCTTTTATTATTTACAACTACAGTAACTATATTTTGCTTTATTTATTTGATTAAAACTACAAAATTAAATTTATATATTCTCGAAAATTCACAACACTGATAATAATCGCTTATTCTATTTAAGTGGGTTACAATTATAAGTTCAGAATTACATTACATCGTCCAAGAAAAATCCTCCTCAAATTCGATTCGAATTTTATACCTTACTGTAATAGTCACCAAGTGATGTCACGTTATTTACTAATATTATATATTTTCCTAGTGCCTACGTTTATTCTAATTATAAATACCACGTACTCATTATAATAGGAATATTACTTTTGGCTCAATTTTATATAATTATCATTATAATATTTACTTATAATAATCTAAATAGTGCGTATTTGGGAAATATTTAAATTCAGGATTTTATTATTTTTATAATGGTCATCAAATACCTTTTCAAGAAACTATTATCTAGGCTCCTATCATTCATTTAAATGTCACGTTCTTTATATTGGCTCTTTTTCATTTTCATCTAATTTTTTATTAATTTTCATCTATGAGTTCATTATTTTTCTAAACACCAATTAATCTTTATTTTTCTATCCCGTTGATGGTGTTTTTTTATATTTTGCCTTCCTTAACCTCTGTGCTATGTACGACTATATGAAATCATCGGAGATATGTGTGATTAAATATAATTTCTATTTATTTTAACTGGCGAAATTTATAATATCTGTAATATTATTTATTTATTTTCAGCAAAAAATTTGCTCAACTATAGGTAAATTTATTTAGTGATCAACAATGTTCTCAATTTTATATCAATTTTATAAAATTTATATTCACTCAAAAAAAAACATTTCTGATATAATATCATTAGTACTTAATAATGTTTATCTTTTCAGAACAAAATTGATAAAGCTACTTTATTATGAATTATATAATGTACCTATATTTTCGATGCGTCGTTGGATTCCTAAATTTATGTATAACTTGAATTGTAAATTTATTTCCTCACTCTTAATTAAATGCAACTATATCCATACATTTTATAATCTGCAAATATATAATTGAATCGTTTCGGAATTATTCGGAAAACAGGGATGACATATCCTGAATATTACATATGATTTATTTAGGCTATTTTACTAACATTTTATCGAATTCAATATGATATTTATTAAGTTATCGTGTTTATAATATAAATTTGGCCTACTGCTCGAAAATTTTCTGTTATTCCCTAGTGTAGTAATCAGCCCAAACACACTTTACAATAAATATTAAAACAGGACGGGAAATCTGTTTTATTAAAATAATAAGAAATAGATCTGAGTATGAATAATCCACCAATATGAAACGTATGTATGTACATTTCTTAAATAAAGAAAAATCTTTAAGAGGCAACATCCTACAAAATTTGTAAATAAATACTTTCTTACTAAATGTTATATTGATGTCAATAAAACCGTGCTGTTCAGAAAACATGAAATGTAGATGTTCTTCGAAAAAAAAAGAAACTATTTTAAGATCTACACACATTATCACTTTACTTGGACTTTATTCCGACTCTAACTGAACTCACGTTGAAGCTTTGCAATTTGAGTTTTATTTCAAAGGGCAAACGCCATATCAAGTTTCTACCCTGGTTGTCAATCAGAACCCATTGCCGCCCCGGGCTTCCTGAGGTTATTACGCCACTGAATTAGACTTCAGCAATTGATAATTATTTATTGCAACTCACTTAGTAGCCAAGAGCTGATATCAGCGATATTAAAATAATCTTAATGGCTTGCAATTAATTAATTAAAAATGTGTTGTCACTACTTATTTGCGTAATATCTTTGTAACCGTCGCCTGTCTTAGGTTTACTATTATTATCGAGTAGCGGAATTGCAATTTTTGCGTTTTCAACTGCTTACAACTTTTCAAAAACTTCATAAACTTTTAATGTTGTGTCTTCACTGAATTCATATTTAATAATTCTGTACAACTGGCTGTCTTCAAAAGTAGTATCTATCAAGATATCAAGCATTTTTAAATCTTTTTATATAAAAAAAACAAAAACTTATTTTTACCCTACATTTAGACTAAGTGCCACATATAATAAAATACTATTATAGTAATACTACCAAACCTCAAAAGAATAAAATGGAGGGATCGATATATCAAACACTTTGAGACAAAATAATTTGTTAGTAAGCCGCATTAAAATTGACAAATCAGAAACTGTATTTGTATCTATTATTTTACTTTGGCCGAGATTCAGTTTTAGGTAAACCTGTTCTTTTTGGGAGTATAAGTATAATGTATGTAAACCTTTAATGACGCTGTAAAGTTGGTAGTCTTGTAAAACCTTGAGCTTGTTCTAAAAGTTTCTTCACATAAAATAAATATTTAAAACGTATTCTAAGAAATTCACTGACAATTTCTCATTATATGATTAACACAGAATTTGATTATCATTATGTGGCAATAAAAATTTGATTATACCCTTTGTCAAATTAACACAAACACTCTGCATATGCTTGTAAGTAATGTGGGGCTATCAAAAATTCATTACTATTTAATATTATACAGGGACATTTATAAAATACAAGCAACTTCGCAGAACTAGAAAGCTTATAGCATAACAAGCGACTTTTGATCTATTTATTTGTTTATATAATTTTCAATCATAAGTTATTTTGAACAAATGTAATATGTCAAGTTTTTATTGTACTGTCGTGATATTAATTGGTCTATGTTTTTATTTATAATAAATGAATGACGCACACCATGTGAAATATGTTAGATACCCACAATATTTCAATATTTTTAGATGTTAGCTATACGCTTGTTTTAGTTCTGCGACGTATTTGATGTTTTTAATGACTGACTATTGCGAACATGGAAAGTTATAATTTTTTGTACTCTATGTCTTTCTATTTAATATGATATAGACTTTAATAATATATTTAACATTTTTGTTAGAATTATTAACATAGATATGTGAACATATTAAGAATTACAATCTATTTTTTTCAAAACAATATATAAGTAATACTTGTAGTTTTTTTGCACATTCTGGTATACTAAACTGGGTATTTTTATACTTTAAGTTAAAATAAATATAAAATATTAAAAGGAAAATGAAAAAAAAATACAAATAAATAATAATTTAATATGTCGAGATTATAAAAATTCGAATTGATCTTTTATCGTATTGGGTCGTCGTCAACCAGCCTTCATCCATCTGTCTATTGAATATTCTAGGGCTGCCATCCACCTGAAAATGAAAATATATGTTAAACCAAAACTATCAAATAATAAAACATATTCATGGCGACAAGAACTTTAGCAAAGATTATAGTGTAAAAGTAGTCGCGGTAGTTAAAAATCTGAAGTGAAACTATTAATGCTCACCCCCAGGCAGAAAATATTGTTATATGGTTATAATATTCTAAATTTAGCTTTTCTAGTAATTATCTAAGTAAATTAATAATATTTAAATTTAAATTTAAACATCAGTAACATGATCCTTGTCGAGTCCTTGTGGTATGAGTCTACGTATTTTAGATTTTACCTCCATTGGCTTTCCATTTTAAGGTTATAAATTCAAGAATAAGAATTTAGAGACCTGTATCAATAATGTGTATTAAATAATTTTTCACTTTACTGTCTTAACCATACTTTTTTTTATGCAGTTGGTACTTTAATTGTTTTATTAAGGTATTTATTCTGTTACAGTTATTACTGATTGATCAATACAAGAAAATATAAAATACCTTTTTCTATCCATTTCAGACTCGGTGTGGAAATAAAAATGCCTTTGCTTCGGCTCTGTCGGCATCACCTCGAACGCGTACTTTTTCCCACCTGGGGAACAGGTCTGTATCCTGTAGCCGTGTAGGCACGCCATACCTGAAGTACAGCATGTATTTAGTGTAGTTTATATACTTCTTTATAATACGAGTGTAGACAGTCAATGAAAATACATACATATATTTTTTTCTAGTAATATTTAGTATACTATTATAGCTAATCATACTTTTAGGTTTATAATATTTCTGAAACTAATTATGAAAAAATAACATATATTTTATGCTCGTTGTCATTTTACCGCAAACAGCACGTGACGTCACACCCTTCTTACTCATAAGGGAACTTATAAAATCCAACTTTATGCATAACGATATCCGTTTCAGGGGGCCGTGACGTCATAGCGACGCCATGACTGAAGTGGAGTTTTCGTGGGAGATTTTGAAAACATTACATTTATTTTTAGATTTTAACTTATTATAATATAAATGATTTTCTTATTATCATTATTTTTTTAGATTAGGTCATGTATATCTATAATAAAAAAAAATATAAAAAAAGTTGTCTACACTCCTGTTGTTTATTCGTTATGTCACTATTGTTATTGTTTAACATACTATTTTTTATATTGAGGTCGTGTATTATTTTGACTGGGTGATGGCCGAAAATGGGTGCTTTCCCCGTACCTGGATGATTTAGATGCACCGAGCCTTGACCCTTTTCTAACTGCTACACATAAGTATGTAATCATTACCGATGTATTTGACAACTTGTTCGTTTTTTTCTTTATTTCCATTCTGTGTCTATTTACTTGTGTATTTCGTAAAAAATTGGTGCAAAGTTTTTGCTTTATTTATAATATTTAGATTTCTGAGCCTCGATTCAAGTAAGCTTCATGTCATCGTGTGTTATATGTTTAAATACTCTTGTAGAAATGTTATATTTCATCTACGTTAAACCTTTATAAGGATAAATTTTAATATTATCCTCAAAAGAGGGCAAGGTGTGACAAGAACAGAGGCGACCTGCGGTTGCGATTAGTAGCTAGCTAGTGAACGCGACCACAAATCATCTATGTTAGTTGATGTTTGCGACAAATTTAAGGAATTATTAAGAGCACTTGCTCATATAAGGTTATTTCCTATTGTTTAAATATTTGTAATTTTTAGATTAAAATTACCGGCATGAACTCTTTCCCTAATTTTGAACAATAAAGATACCCTACAGGATCATAATAGCTATTCTGTTGCAGCACCAAACTTCGTCTTAAATTTCGAGTATTATATTTTAAATAGATGTCAAACAATATATAGTAAACAAAGTATTTTTTCACGGACTCGCTTCGGAAAAACGCATCTAGTCTAGTAAGAACTAATTTTAACGGATAAAATTGTAAATTATACAATTTTGGGCATTCAATAATTCTAGTTTTAACAAAGTCATTTTGTAAAAACTAGTTCTAACTAGGGAAGATGAGTTCTATCTAAAAACTAACTGCAACACATATAGCGCTCGCTGATTTGTTTTGTCTGTAATCTCCACCTACCCATTGAACCGTACTTTTATGTCTAGGATACTAGATGTACATCATTGTGCAAAAAAAAACAAAAAGCTAATTATGTCAACATATTTATACTGTAACCCAAAAAAACAATTATGTCCAAACGGTTATATGCCAAAGTATGTTAGGAATAAAAACATTATGTTGAAAGAAGGGATCAACCTAGTCACGCTTGGCATGTTATAGCAGAGAGCAAAGAAAAAACTAATTTCTAGTTTCTGGCTCTACTTGCTCCTCTTTTATTTATGCTAACCGGAGTACCTAAAGTACAGGAAATAATCAGGCAGAGAAATGAGCGCTACAAGTCATGGTCCTTACACACATGTTTCGCTTCCTGTTTTCGCAATTTTATGGCCTCTAACACCACTTCAACGACATTTATATACATATATAAATGAAGTATATGAAGACTTATATATTTAAAACCACTTACCAAAAGCACTTTTACTGTTTCCGTCACTATAGAAGTAAAGACAGGCATCTTTGAGCACGCAGTATCTTTTCGCCCAAGATTTCCATTTGGAACCGAGCTTCATGAGGTACCCGAAGCAATCAGGCCTTGGGATAGAAGAAGGTGGTAGTTTCATGTTCCTCATTGTCACTTCTAACCAACCATCACGCTGAAACAAGGAGTTTCGTATGTCAAGTTGTCACTTGTGTTCCTTTTGTTTTCATTTCGAATGTTCCTATGTCCTTTTATTTTAAAGTTAATATTTGTTATATTCCCTGTCGTGTTTGTTCTGCCAATACCTCACAAAGAATGATTATGGGCTACAAAACTAGGGTTGCCAGATGGCCGGGATTTCCGGGATTGTCCCGAAATTTTGCGTATTTTCCCGTGTCCAGCAGTCTTACTTTAATGTCCTGCAATAAAAATTACTAGTTTTTTTTTTACAAAGTATTAAAGCCAATATTTAGCCTTAAAAAAAACTTTTTAAATTAAGTTCTAAGTAATTCCTACATTGTTTAGTTTTGGACCGGAGATAAGACCTCTGATTCCGTTCTTGGCAGCAGGAATAGCCAGGAAATCATCCTGGATCTGGCAACCCTTAACAAAACATGTACATATAGAAGTAGATACAATTTCGGGACAATAGATGAAAAGTATTCAAGAGGTAACGATGAGCTTTAAAAAAACTGTTATTTGCGGATTAGGCCAATATCAATCAGCTGAAGATTGATGGCCCGTATTGAACCATTGGGCAAAGAACACTATGATATTCAGTTTTAGGCACTTTTAATTTGCTTTGTCAATTACCTCACTAACAGAAATTATGCTTTAAAGTATGCGGTATTTGGTACATTTTTATATGACATTTTTTCTAAATTCACTAAAAAGGGGCTTGTATCTCACTACTTGCTTTTGTACATTTGTAAGATGCATTAAGAATGATTCTGCATAATCATACTATTAATGTCCCTAGTTCTAGGGCACAGGCCAGACAATTATAATGGTATGATTAGCTGAATTATCTTCAGTTTTAATTTAGTAATCAAAGTAGTATGATCGTATGTTGTCCTGATATTAAACGTAAAATATCTTTTTCACTTAGGAAAAAATAATATATATGGTTTTTATTTTAGCCTCGTAGTGTACTTTCTTTTAATCCATTTGTTTCGAAAGAATGAAAGACTGTAAGCATTAAAACACCTACTATTCTATTTACTAGAATTGCGTTTCAAAATCTTATAATATTAGTTATTATCTTATGGAAAAGTTCTGGGAGCTTTGACGAAATCGGATAATGAAGGCTTGTTACGGCAAATAGTTCTGAAGGTATCCGCAAGATGGCGTTCGTTTGCTACCGAGATTACCTATTGCTTAGTTTCTGTCTACGTTACGGATGGCAGCACTGAGCTTTTAGTATAATATGCGTAGTCATACTGCAGTGCTGAAATATGTATAGAATACATATTCATCAATTAAAACATGAAGTAAATTTGCTTTAATGGTCTAATAAATTATTAGTAGTACATCTAGCGGACTTCTTATTCGTTTTCTATAATTTCAATCATCATTTCTTTAGAGAAAGTTTTATCGCAATGCCCTTTCCACTTACTTGGTTACTAGCATCTATAGCGTGTGCCAGTACAGCGCGCCATCTAGCGGACGCCTCAGCAGTGTCGGCTGCTAGTTGTAATCGTGTGCCGCCACCGCGTTGCAATCTAAACCCGTGCGGTCGACCAGAGTCCTCTTCAGTTAGTTGGTAGTTCACCAACATCAGCGCCCCCACTGGATGAATACTCTATAACAATATACATCATTAGTTAGGCTTGGGATGGTAGTTTTAATTTATCCTATTATTCCTATTAATATTATAAATGTGAAAGTTTCTTTGTTTGGATGTTTAGATGTTTGGATGTTTGTCTGTCAATCACGCCGAAACTACTGAACGGATTTTGATGAAATTTGGTACACAGATAGGATATTAGCTGACTTAGATAATAGGATTTTATCCCACTAAACATTTCCCTAGGGTTCACGCGGGCGAAGCCGCTGGCGAAAGCTAGTACTTATATAAAATTATAATATTTAAAAAATAAATGTTTTTATTTGTGCACACTAAAACGTAAATAAATAAAATTTTAATTCTACTAATAATCAAAATTTTCTCTAACATTAACTGAATGGAAAAGATTGTAGCGCTAATGAAATCAGAGACAAGGAAATAGACATATTTTTAACGAGCTACAAGCTTTTCAAGTCCAAAACTGTTAGAGAAATTTTTGATTAAAAGTGCTTTAAATGTTTTAAATTTATTTCTTTACGATTTAATGCGCACAAATAAAAACTTGCTTTTAATTTTTCCAACTTTATTTTTGTCTCATTAAGTTGTCGTTCACATTAAGACACATCTATATATATAAAAATGAATCGCAAAATGTGTTGGTAAGCCCATAACTCAACAACGCCTCGACCAATTTGGCCAAATCTTTTTTTAAAATGTTCGTTGAAGTTCAAGGATTATTAGGTTAGAATTATTGCTGGAAAAACCCTAAAAATAGCCCTTTTCTTTTTCCCATACAAATGATTTGTAACTAAAACGTAGTCAATTTGAGCTTTATTGCTATGGTATAAAGTTCATATTAAATTACAAGCACTCACTGTTGTCTAAGCAATGTAGGTGTGTTCCTAACGTCAAAGATCATATCTATCAAAACAATGTGCGTGTGTGCGTTGGAGCACAGAATACATAGTTGGAGGAGTTTAATGTCGCGTTCCGAAACTCGCGTTTCTTTTGTATTAGTTTCGGCACGCGAGATAAAATGCATCAGTTTCCACGTCATTACATGTATTGCCGGAACATTGATGAAAATACGCTCTGTAGTAGCAAAGCTGTTGGGTCCTAGATAGCTCATTGGTTAGAGCAGTCCCTGGATCGCGAATGGGTTCGAGTCCCATTCCGGGGTACAGGTAGATGGATTCTTCCAGCATTTTTCCTTGAGAATGTTTATATATTTTTTTTAATTCGAATAGTTTACTTTTATAATGCTGTTGTGTGTAATGTGTTTTTATGATCATAAAAATCTCTTTTTTCTATATTTAATACTATTACTATTAATACATTGCAATAATAATTATGATTCACATGATTAACAATAAAGCGATTACTTACTTTTAAATCCTTATATATGTTTTACTTAATTATTTTTTATTCACAACGCCCTATCACCAGGGCGACGGTTCTGTTCAGGAGAATTTTTTTAAATACGTAGGCAAAAAAACTGCCACATTACAAATCTTTTTGACAGGACGAAGTCTGTCGGGTCAGCTAGTCTTAAATAAAAGCTTGTAAAACTAGTCGTTTTCCTACTACTTCTGAATAAATAACCTATGTTACCCGCTTCCCTAAGTTGAAAGATTTTTTTTAAATTAGTTCAGTAGTTTGGAGCAAACAAACAATACAAACAGTCAATCAAATCTTCCTATTTATAATATTAGTACTTTAGTACTGGTATGACCTAAATTACTTATTAGATTGAAATACATCATTTTGATATCTATACAGCGTCTGATCAAGAGATCTGCCCCCATCGCATACGGGTGTTTTACTTTGTCCACATCTTATGCTGCAGAATAATAATAATGAAACATAAGTTATTTTCGCAAATGCTACATTTATTTCATTAATAAAAATAGCAATAATTTTAAAATAAATAACAATATGAAATTTATTTTTCATGCTTTCTCGTTTGACAAATTTTCTGTTATTTTTTATAAATAATCCATTAAAATATTATTTTCTATATAAAGTAGGGAGAAAGCTTCAATATTTTCGAAGTGTTGAACGGAAGCAATTTTTGACTTTTTAGGACTGAATAAGACTTTTCGCCATCGCAGTTGGCCAGACTCATTGTTAAAATAATTTTTACTATTATTTCCACATAACGCAACATACGCGTAATATTAAGGCTTTTGATAAAATACAATAAACCTTACGGAGCTCTAGATGGGTCGCTTGAACTTTTTCAGTTTGCAACACATTTAGTTTTAGTTTTTGTCATGAGTCAATTTGAAATATTATAAGATTGTACTTGCAAAGACAAGATTTCAGAGGCCCCTGATCGTCGTGCCCTTGGCTTTGGTAAAGCCTAAAGGTAAATCAGGGCCTGTATCTATACTAATAATTCTGAAGTGCTAAAGTTTCTTACCTTGTTTATTTGTAACAGTACTTGTATATATACTATTTGTCTCAATTTTATTCTTTTACTATACTTTAAGAAAGCTACCTCATATGCTTATGTGTTGTTGTTAAGCAACTTAAGCAAGGGTCAGTTACAGGATGGGTGTCCAAAAAAAATATTATCTCGAGCTAGTCTGTGCTTCGGAAGGCATGTTAAGCCGCGGTACCGGCTGCATTTTGCAGTCGTTAATACTCTCCAATCTGCATTGGTCCAGCATGGAGGGTTATGGCCCATCCTCCTTCTTCATCTATAAGAAAGACTGACTGATGGTGATATCATACGTATATGAGGTATACTATAATTTTAGCGGACTTAATCGCGTGAAAACAGCTCGTCTAATATAACAGAATTTTCGTACCGAATCAGTTTTATAATAGTATAGGCAGTTGTCCCTCTTCAGCACGAACCATCGTCGTGTCCAGCGTGGTGGATGATGAGGTCTGGTAGGTGCCGCCCTCCAGAGGTACCCCGAGTATAAAGCGGCTGGACCACCTTCGTGAGCAAGTGACGCTACCACCTCACAAGTTCTTGCCACCTGGTATAATATAAATAAAGATAATTAAATATTAGCAAATGCTGACAATGAGCAAGAGCTGATGAATATTCTTTAATATTTGTTATGTTTACCAGTATCTTATATTCTCTAAATAGTTAATTTTTTCTATCAAGAAAAGATCTAGAGAAAAAAACCGAGTCGCCCTGGTATAGTCGGAGTCGGGTTTCCGTGCTGAAAACGAGCAAAAATCACGTTTTTGTATGGGAGCCCCCTTAAATATTAATTTTATTCTGGTTTTTAGTATTTGTTGTTGAAGCGGCAATAGTAATACGTCATTTATTAAAATTTTAACTGTCTAACTTTCACGGTGTATGAGATATAGCCTGTTAACAGACCGACAGCCACGTCTTAGCGATAGGGTTCCTGTTTTATCCTTTGGGTACGGAACCCTACAAATGATTGCATTGGTATATAGCTATTCTTAAGATTTACATTTGCCAACACGTATTACATACACATCATGTGATTTAATTTTATCTGCATAAAAAATCAATAGTGTGTACTTTTACTTTCCACTTACATCTAATTCTAAAATTTCCGAGCCCGAGTGTGCTATTTTAACTACTTCAGAATGCGTCTTATCTAAAACATTGATCCCTGAAACAAACGCAAAATATTAATAGGGTAAGTTTTGCCTTACAAACTACTACTTACCTCGTTACGACTTTCTACTTTCACAAATTGAAAGTTAATTAAATTACACAATTTTTATCCTCGAGTAGCATATAAATATTTCTATTTGTAAAATCATTAATTTCTGATATAAATTATGTAAATGTAAATAAAATGAGTCCGTGAGTGATGAGATAGGCGTAAAATCTCAAAATGAGTTTTGTATAAAATTAATTGATTTCTAATATCAGATCTCGGCTACAAAGTGACACACATATTTCTTACCATTCACAGCTATTACTATATCGCCAACTTCCAAACCGGACGTCTCGGCCGGCGTGTCCGGTTCTATCGCCGACACCACGACAGGCTTGCTCCCATGGATCCTAAAACCGAATTCTTCATTGCCTCGTCTCACTACCACAGTCTTGTCGCTTTCTGGGAAAATTTAAAAAATGATCGAGTAATATGATAGAAAAAGGATCTTCAGGTCTGTTTAGATTGAAATAGGAAACAACTCCGTGACTTGGATTCTTGGACGTTAATTTATACTTGATTTAAAAACATATATAATTATGAATTGAAAGTACAGTCTAATTTCAACCGTTAAATTTTGACATATTATAATTTTTCTTTCCTATTCGGAAGATATACGTATCTAAACTAAGATGTGAGTATTACCAGTATTACACACAAATAAGTGGTTGTGTGCAATACTTACTACATAAGTCTCGAAGGTAAAGATAAAATTGTTATTGTTTAAAAAAAAAAGCTAAATAAAAATAAAAACTAAAAACAACGTTAAATAAATAAAAAGAGGTATAACCATTCCAGAAAAAATAATTGAAGTACGCGGGGCTTCATCGTAACTATTTTCATTTTGTACTACATATCTAAATATTTCAATTGACAGCGGTTTTTTTTTTAAATACCCTGTGATAAAGGGTTGTTTTATGAAAATATCTTGGTAATAGAAGTAGTACCTAGTAGTATACAAACAAAATATCTATTTTCTCTACCCACACTGATCGTCGTACCCGCAAGACAACGAAGTACAATATACGGTCAACTTGAAAACCTTTACAGTTTGCAACCGATCCGGAACTTCAAAACAAAATGATATAGTTCAACTAGATACTTGAACTTGATTTAAACAAAAGCTATTGACGTCAAAAAGATCCGGCACTATGCTATTGACCCAAAATTTGCATTATCTTTATTGCAAAAATCGACCTTGCGATAATAATAAACATCGAAAAACCTGACCATGAAACATTTTCAATACAAACCCCAATAAAACTCGATGTTTTGCTTTATTCACTTTCACTAAACATTTGGCGATTGTCCAAACGACCAAAATTATATTCATTCATATAATAATATGATAAATGTAAGTTTAGAATCTGGATTGAAGCACGTTAGCCATTTTTGGAAGCCTTACATTTTTTGCGTCTTGGTTTTAGTTTATAAATGACAGAGAAAAACACTTGCACTTTACAAAGGTTCGATAGTCTGGCGCTTTATTTGGAAAATTCGGAATGACATTAAAAATTATATGTTAGTAACACGCTAAAATTCGGTAAGATCATAACATCAGAAGAAACACAACAATTGTGCAAACATCAGTCTTAGTTTTGAAAGCCGGACTCTAAAAAGTGGCGACTTTTTCAGGATGTGGTGTTAGCGAAGAATACTTCGCATACCTTGTACAGCGCGTCGAAAAAATATCTTGATTATTATATGGATCAATCTTGTATTCACAATACTTTTTTGATCAATATAGCATTTTTTGAGATAAATAGTTAAATGTCATGCAACATTTTTTTTATGTTAAAACAAAAATCATTAACAACATATCGTCAAATATTATTTCCTTTAATTGAAGTAAGCTTTTAAGCAGATGGTTTTAAACGACAAATATAAATATCAATGAACTGATTTATCATTCCTTCTTATTTTGATACGAGTAAGCGCATATCATCCATCGGATGATCAGTTGCATACTAAAATCATATTTCTGTGAGACTTTGACGGATCTTCCATCATTTTTCAGCGAATCACCGTCCCTAAACCTAAAGAAAAATTGCTAAAGAAGGTTTTCTTTTTTGCAGGTTTATTCTAAAGATAACAATAGGAAATTGTTATTGTCGTCTATAATAATTCAAAAATACAATACGACTTTTAAGGTGACGAAATTAGAAAAAAAACTTTCGTTGAAAATTATCCCGAAGAAAATATTTCGTATAGATCAATTAAATCAGCTCCAATTCAACAGGGTTATGTTATTAGAAAGTTAATGTTATTATTAAGTTTCTATGCATACTGTCTTGGGCCAAAGTCCTTGAATACAAACTAAACGAGCCCAAACTCGCTTTGTATAATTACTGAGTTCCCATGGCTACCTTCCAGCTGCATCATTAGTTAAAGGCCCATTCAAAATTGATATTGCATTGTCATCCATACAAAATTACACTTCAACCGGAAATCGGGAAGTGTGTTAAATTTACCTCCAAATATTTGACCAACACTAACATGGCAAGTTAAATAAAAGCTTGTAGAAATTAACCACAAGATAATATAAAAGTTAATCAAACATTCATTTAATGTTAGCATATATTTCCATCAAAATCATTAACAATTACATAAAGCGTGACTATTAGTAGTCAATCAAAGTTCATTTTACCACTTTGTTCGACGGCAACAAGTCGATTTACTTGACACTGTCGGCACCATACCATAAGCATCAACTTAAAAATATCCTCCAACTTTTGTCTGAGGCTTCCTTTCGAGTTGGACAACACGTCTCTGACTATAAAATAATATAAATAATTTACTTATGAATACAACGAATTTTTATTAATAAAAATTATAATTTTTGTTAAGATTATTGAAAAAAGTTTGTTTTCACTTTCATTGTTTCAAACTCGTTACTAACGTCCTAACGTCAGTAATAATGAAATTAAAGCTTCAAACAGCAAAGTTGATACTTACATATATAACCCATAGCGGCAGGGAATTCCTAGTTTCTCTAAAACGCTCTTGAACTTCACTTCATAAAACCAAACTGATGTCACAATGTTAAGTTCCTTGCATTAGGGCTTTGTAATAATTACGTCATCGAAAATATTTGCCGGCCGCTACAAACGTGCTCCCGATACAAAATCAATAAGAACCAAACCGACCACAGAGGTAGACATAAAAATATCATCTGGCCGCAATCGCGTTTCTCATACGACTGAGAACTGACGCGCGAAACGCTCTCAGAAATAAAATTAGTCCAGAGCATGCGGTAATATTCGGTTCTATAAAATTTTGTTAACTAAATGCTTCCTCTGTCTACCAAGTCTATTCTCAAATCAGTCAGCAAAATTTCTTCGACAAGGTCAAGATCTTATGAGGTGACATCAACTATATTATGGGATGATGTTACATCATAATGTAGGCATAATGAAGTCGATATTTTTTTTATTCTTGACAATACAAAAATAATAAGAGATGGGATCAAAATAGAAACTTAACGTAGTGGGACTCAAAATAAACTAACTGCACGCGTCACTTTAGAATTGGAACGGTTAACGAATTTGTCTTGTTAAAAATGACGTAACTGAACGTATAAATTATATGGCATAAACTTTTTATGTTCAATGTTTCTGTAATCTTTGATAGCTTTTTGATACTGTTCAAAAGACTAAATAACAAAACTAATCATGGCCTCAAATTCAATAATAATAAAATAAACAATAAATATAACTTACCAAAAGTGTTGTTTGATTGCCGTCTATTCAATTCTATACATGCTCTTCTGTGAACGAGTCTGTGAGTTAACGCTACGTATCTTTTATTGAATTCAGTCTCCGATTCAGTCGGGTCATCTTTGCTGGTATCTTTTTTTTCTATTACATCTGAAAGTATGTTATTGAAGGGCTCATCAATATTATATGTATTTTGTTAAACTTCCAAGAAACTTGGAACTTTTCTCACATTGTAGCATGTAATTTTACTATTTAGGCATCTTGTAGCATCAATATAAGTCGCAAAAAATTCTACTAATAATAAGAAATATATGACAACATAACATACATTGCTCAGCTCCCAAATTAAGTAGCTACAGCAATTGTATTATGAAATAATGAAGGTAAAACCAGAGTTGAGACGATAAAGTTCAATTAACAATTTTTAAACGAAAGCTGTTGAATACTCAACTCAAATTTTATTTAGTTTTTTTGTATTAAAATTTTAATTGTGGACCCTTTGAAAATATGCAAAATATTCTATTGAATTGTAATGACAGTCGCTTTATAAGACTTAAAGAAAATTAAGAGCAACTCACAAAGTTCTTTCTCATTGTCAATTTCTAAAGTACAACGCTTACCTGGAGGGATTCGTGTCCAATGATCATCGTTTTCTGATAGTAATATCCAGTTCCCGCACCACCACGGAGCAGCATAAACGCCTCTTTCTTCGCGACTGCCGATTTCTGCCCCTTCTGAACTTCCAGAACATTCTTCGGGTTCTATCATAATTAATTACGTTAGTTAAGTAAACAGGGACAACTTTTCGAAAATAATAAATTCCAGAAATACTAAAGCGCCTACATCATTTCATTAGCAATAAGTCATTTCATGATTTTTGACCGAAGTTGTTTCCTTGCTAATTTTTATCCCAATTGTTTGATGTCAGTTTTTCTTTTAGTTTTCAATAACATTAAAAAAAAATGCAACTTAACATCTTCTATTTTTCTATTGAGAATGCTTACCATCAGGGTCAGCACTAGCACTGGAACCACCCAATTTATCTAAACTGTTCCCTGCTGATCGAGCAATACGCGTGTCTTGAGGTTTTTCTGTTGCCGCATATTCTTCTTTGCCTCTTTCCTCAGACTGCGAATTAGAATCATATCGAGACGATCAGTTAAACAGTTTTATTTTTAAAGAAGTGTCAATTTTTTAGTGGCAAACTTGAAATATCGATCAATTATTTAAGAAAGTTTTAGTGTTGTAGTAGGTCAACAACCATACCAGTGATTATGAAAATTAAATTTAATTCATAAAGTAAACTAAATAAAATTAGTTAAGTCTTGTAAAATAATGTTAGATCTATATCTTCACGCCGTATCCCTTGCGGGGGAGGCAAAAAACATTTATTTATTTGATATAAAATATTTACCTATGACAGCTTTTCACCGTTATAGAATATACCTTTTTATAAAGGGTAGGGTGTAAAATTTAATTTTCGCATAGTTAACTTGCTATTAATTTAAGTAGTTTTTTGGTCCTAAAGTTTAAAACTTATCAAGATGCATATACCTATACTGAAAATATATAATATTATTGCCTAAATACACTACTTGGATGAAAGTAAATAGCTCAACTTACTGAGGGCCAGTTTTTTGATCCGTAGTCAAATGTCATTTCACCATCTGTTAACTTGACTATAGTTAAAACATTAACTAGTTGTTAACCTGCTATTTAGTTTTTTGATGCCAAATTAAACCATAGCCAAACTTAACCATTGGTTAATTTGTTGCCAGCACAATGAGGCTTTCTTTCGCTATACATTGACATGGGTATTTTTTTCTGAGTGACAACACTAACGGTTTGCATGAACGCAGCGAACTATATACCATTTTTGACATTAGGATATTGTTCCAAATATCAAATAGACAAAAGAAATTTATAGATAACTAAATAGTGTGGATGTTTATGGTTGTTCTGTTGTGTGTACTATATGTTATTTTTCAGGAAATATAAGGCAATTTCTTTGATAATGTTAGAAAGCGACAAAGATATTTTTTTTCACAGTTATTTTAAAATTAACTTTTTAATCAAAAGCATATATTTGTTTTTTATTTACCTTATAGAGAAATACATGAAAATAATATAGTATCTAGTATCCAAGGTGGGATTGTAATGTTGGAAAATAAATCGAGGAATATGTATTTAATATATCGTAGGCATATTTACCTTTTGTATTGTATATTCATAGATTTTATGATAATTTGGCATATGCCCAAGAACAAGAAAACAAATTATTTTATAAAGCACAAATATACTAAGGATGATCAAGGTAAAAATATAACTTATTTTCAATAACCCTAAAACCCAAAACTGACAAGGAATTTTTCCTATGAAATTGCATCATAAAACGAAATCCCAAAAATATTTAACGTCCAAATTCACAATGGAATCATGTAAGTTATAAAAACAACGTAAAAAACAATAACAAGGGACCAAGTAAATACAACGCAGATGTACATCTTTTCTTTTAACCATTGGTCATTTGCTTAACCTGGCTACCAGTGATGGTTAAATTTTTTGACCAATGGTTGGCCTTCTGGCAATTGGTTAGGCTAACTATTAATCAAAAAATATATTTTTCTGATATTTGACCATTTGTCGAAGATTTTAACAAATGGTTGAGTTAACCACGGATCAAAAAACTGGCCCTTGGCTACAACTCTGAAAACAGGACTTTTTGTTACTAAACTACAACCATAAAATGATGTTTGTTTCTTGAAATAAAGAGTATTCCTAGAGAGCTATTATCGTAATATAATATACTTTACTCTTTGAATCATAGTCTATGGCAAAGATTTCAAGAAGAAAGACACGGTATTAAAGCCATCTTTCATTCATTACATTTTACATGTAATAATTAATTTATCCACTTGACATTGGCAGAATTGTGTGAAATGCGCAGATAAGCCATTAATAAAAGAAGAAGAAGAAGAAAAAGAAAATATGTAAACATTGTGTTTTTGTATTTATATTTATCAAACAAACTTCAAACGGTCATGAATCTCATACTTATAGCTTTTCATATTTTATCTATAACCTATTTTAGTAATTGCAGTTCTGAAAATGATAAAAGAGATATTGTGAATAATGACTTTGATGATATCACAAGTACGACAACAATAGAAAATAATTTGGATACAAGTTTTCAAGTCCCCGATGAAAAATGGACATCCAAAGCCTTGAAAAATATAGCGCATTATTTAAGAAATTACAAGTTTAATGCATGGGATCATCGCTACTATACTACCAAACCTAAAAATGATTCAATTGGTTACTATGACTCGTTTCCCATTCCTGTATTAAGATCTTTGCATTGGAAGGTATATCAAAACTGTGACAATGATTTCTATAAATGTATAACATATTTAGAAAGTGTGATCCAAATAGTGCCATTTGCTCGAAGTGATGATGTTGTTACATTTTTAAACGAAAAAGTAACAAATAATGTGACAGTGATAAAAAAATTAAACTATGAATGTGCACAGACTCTATTAGATTCTGAAAGAAATAGTTTCCCGTTTGATAGTCGTATTGAGAAATTTCAATGGCGCACCACAGCATCTTATTATATGTGCTGGTATGCCATGTTGGGAACTCCAGCACTTTCAATGCTGGGAGAGATATGCGATAATTTTGCGAATTGTATAGATCCAAATTTTGGTTATAGAAACCGCGATCCGAGATCAGACGACAGATTGTCATTTGCTTGTGCTACGTATAGTTTTTGTCCAGATCCTTGCTGTCCGCTGAAGCATATTGATCATATACGCGAGTGCTACGAAAATAAATTTAATCCATGTTTTAACGAAAACCGCGAGCGACCCACTGCATTAAAGAAATGTAATCTGGACAGAAAAGAAAACAGAAATTTCAAATCCATTATAAAAAATAAATGGAATGTATCTTGTAACTGTAAGAAAACCGGATTTATATGGAAATCTCAATTTGGAATATGTGTCGATGTAAATGAATGTTTATCGAAAAAAAATCCTTGTAACAGCTCAACGGAGATTTGTTTGAATACACCTGGCTCTTTTAAATGTGTTTGTAAATGGGGATCTCAATTCGATATAATTAAAAACAAATGCGTTAGTAATTTTCACAGGAAGATTAAAGATCACTCAGTCTTAAATAATACTAATGTACTTGCCACTAATATTATTATACGCTTTCTTAATTATTTTGGCTTACACAAATAAATAGTATAGTAATCTATAATACCTTAGCACGAACATCCTGTCGATGACGATAGTGTCTTGATTTATCTTCAGAACGATATCTTTTGTCCAATTTTTTATATAGTCGAGCGCCACTTGCATGTTTTTTTGAGCTGATGCAAGATGGGGAATCGGCAAATCCCGCAGGTGCTGGAACTATATCTGGAGTTGCATCTGCATAGGATTCCTAGAAATAATTTATAATATAATAATAAGATCAGAAATAGTGACACCTTAAAATTATGTCAAGTAAATAACATATACTTACATCTGTGTGAGAAGTTCTGCTATCATGTTCATGTGAGGCAGTTACTATATGAACTTCTTTACCACAGTGTAAACAATGAGCTTTAGCTTCACCATCTGCCCCTGCGAAACTGTGCTCGGTTTGTTCTGAGTAAAAGACTGAATCAGACCCAGGAGAAACTGAACGCAGTGATTCAGCAGATGCTGCCTTAGCAAACTTTCCAGTACATTCTACAAAACCAACTTCTTTATAGTACTTAAAAAAAATACTTGGTCAGTTTAATAACTTAAATCAACTACATAATGATTACCTCTGTCTTGCTTTCTGTGGTGTCTGGGTGACGTGTTTGGACTTTTAACGTAACGCAAAGGAGTTAATCGTGATCCAGCACTAACAAGAGTTCTAGTAGTTTCTATATCTTCAGCTTCTAATGAGCTCAAGCAAGGGACTGTTGGTATCGATTGCTTTCTTCTTGGTAAACTACCAGGTAATGATATGCTTTCATTTGAACCACTTTTTCTTCTAGGCCTACAACTGAAACAAAGTTATCATATAACAAATGTGTGAAGGTAAAACGAGTAATATCACTTGAACAATAACGATAAAAATAAGTTATCTGGCTACTGAAAAATAAAAAATACATAATTTTTTCAAATAAATATCTCATGCTTTTTATACAGGTCGGAAAAGGTACCTGTATCCCGCATGATTATTTCCTGATGTGGGAGATTTTATTGAATTAGAATTAGCACCAGTTTTTCTTCTCGGACTATCCCTTAAGCGTCTATGTTTTCTTGGTGAAATGTTTCCATTACCCACACCTACAATTATGATAATTAAAATATAAAAAGTAGTGTACTGAAATACAATAGACATGATAATGGTTTTGAAATTAATTATTATTATAAATATTTTTTTATACCTACCATCTTTTCTATACTGTTCACTTGAATCATCGGAAGTTGGAATATTAAGATGTAATTTCATATTTGAACCTAAGCCTTCCCGTCTGTCGTAATGTTGGGATCTGTAACAGTGGTTCCCGTCAATAGTTTTGCTTTGCGTCGGGCTTTTAGCTTTTAGTTTTGTCCTTTTCACGTATCGCTCTCTTTCGGGTGGTCTTTTATGTTCTCTTTCTTGTGGTTCTTTTTCTTTTATTACTTTTTCTTTTAATGATTTTTCTAAATCAACGTGGTCTCTAGGCGATGATTGGACACTTTTAGGTTTGTCTACAAAATGAGTTTTCTTTTTCCTTGGTTCTGGTGCTTTTTCTTCAAGTGGTGATTTTAAATTAGTTGGCTTAAATATACTAGTACGGTCAGATCTTTGACTTATACAATCAGGTTCTTTTACTTTTTTACCCCAATCATCTTGTGACGTAGACACTGAATCATCATACGACTTAGAGAATTCCAATGTGAATGCTTTTTTCTTTCGTCTTTTGTCATCTATCAGCCATGATTTCGGTCTAGCCGATCTGTATTTTTGTGAATGTTTATACGCTGAAATAAACACAGATCATTAAGTAACTATCGAGTATCGTATAATGTTGAAGACTATATTTTTACTCTTACTTAAGCCACCATCATCGTCGTCATCTACAGGGCTTTCATAATATCCAGACGACGAATAATGCACACTCCTTTCATCATCAGACAATGATCCCTGATTAAAAAATAATAGTAAAAAAAAAATATTAGTTTATAATTTTGTTTATATAAGAGAATTTATTGGTGCTGTAAATAAAATTTACTCTATACATTTAGAAAATCAAAATAGTCTAACCTATTATTGTACCGGATTACTAAAAAAAATAAGTAACCAATGTCATCAGTTTGCAAATCTAAATTCGACGAACTAATGCTTAGATGAACCGACAGCAAAGCTTGAGCTTTGAATGTTTTGAATTCGCACAGAGTATTTTCTGATTATGATTTTTAATATTCCTAGACAAAGAAATACTAACAATTGCTTACCATAATCTTTGGAACTAGTTGTTCTTTTTCAACCATTGGACTTGTGACTTTATCTTCTTTCGTTTTTATTTCTACTTTTTCTGGAACTTCTTTGACTTTCTCTGTAGGAGTTTTGTCATTGGTGTCTTCTGTTACATTAGGATTTGATCCACCTATACTATAACTTCCACTTGAACTACTTTTACCACTTATTATATCACGCATGGGAATCTTAAATAATTATAAAAAAATAAGTTACATAGTTTATAAAACATTTAGATGTTAGACTAAAAAAAAGATTTACCTTAGAAATTCTAGGAATATCGTCCTTTATTTTTATAATTTCAGTCTTTTCTCTCTTTAATGTTTCAAAATTTGAATTCATTTCTGCTCTTACTTCAATTTTTTCTACGTTTGTTTTTGATAATCTATCAGGTAACGGCAAAGGCGGTGAAGATAAATCAGGGACAATGAAATTATCATTTATTTGTAAAGGAGGAGAATAACTTGGTAGTATTAAATCTTCAGTAATATTTTCTGTACGAGTTGAAGAATATAAACTTGATGCACTTTCAAAAGAGGATCCTTCTTGTGTTTTATTGTTTTCTGGATCTGTAATCAAAATAAAAATTAGTTATTTGCAATATAATTTCAATACTTAATTAGTCTTTAGAACCTGTCTTACTCTGGTTATGATTTTTACAACTTTTCTTGGAGCTGTCAGAATTTGCTGTCACATAATCATCTGTGGTCGTTGTGCTTTCAGAAACATCAGTTGTGTTAATCTTACCCGAATCAGTTCTAGCTAAACTTGTTTCACTACTTGTTGTTTTAGCTAACGGTGTTTCTGATGGAGATTCTACTATTTGATTTGGAATTGAGCCATTTGGTTCTTTCTGTTGGGCTTTTTTTTGCAAGTCCTTTCTTCTTGACGGACTTAAAGCTCGCTCTCGTTTTTTATTTATAAAACTTGGTGTTCTCTTAAATGGTATATCTGATAAATCTAAGCTCGGGTGTGTTATTGCGATAGATGGTGTATGACTCGCTTTTGGAGGCACAATAGAAGATAAAGTTTTTGAAATAGTTGGTTGTTTAGTTATTGGAAGAGTAATATTTGGAACAACTGCTGGTGGTGATAGTGACTGCCTGACTTGTGTGACGTTTGAACTTGATGTGTCCAATTTATTTCTAGGCGATGTTGGTGACTGACTCTGCAAAAAAATATTAGTTTTACACAACGCAGCTAATTAAATTAATAAAAATGGGTCTTCCAATATTTTTCTAGGTACCTGAGATGCATCAAATTCTTCATCTAAAACATCTGTATCAAGTGATGATCTTTGTTGATGTTGTAATAAAAGAAGTTGTTTTCTTCTAGATGTTGGAGTAAGTAATGCTAATGCACCAGGTGATGCTGCTAAAGAACTAAGATCTGATGAGCTGGAAGCGGACATTTAAAAATTAAATTAAATTCGACAGTCAAATATTTCAACTCTTATTCAAATATAAATTCTTTTACTACCTTATAACCGTTCCATTCTCAGTTCCCGAATCGATTTGTAAAACCGTCGTTTGCGATTCGTTCCACAAACCATCCGAATGATCTCTGAAAATAAATTATTTGAAAAGATAAGTGTGTCAGTAATCAGTATTGAGTTTTTTTTTTATATTTTAGTTTATGGTCACAAATATACCTGCTATGATCAACTGTCAGTGATTCATTTGAAGCACATGGCGATGCTTTGTCCAGGGGGGTTAATATAGTGGTAAGATTATTTGAAATTTTAGTTTTTTTAGCCTTTTGTTGAACGTTAATATCTAAACTCACTGGTTCAGGAGAACCCGGACTTGATTTGGCAGTGCTGAAATAGGACATAGTTTCTAATTAATTTTACTATCATGCAATTAAGTTTTAAATTGAAGGTACAACACCGATACTAAAATAAAACATCACATATATTTGGGAGTAAGCTGGAAATGAGTTGATTACTAGTATATTGAGATTATATTGACAATATTGTGTTGTAGAGGTTCTTTTCACCGCCATCATTACCACGCTCTCGTCCATTATTTCGTAGTATATTAGTATGGATACTTTATGTTGATGCCTTTGTCGTGTAATACGAGCAAACGATGAAATGAGTTAATGGTTATTGAATAAGCTTCAATGGGACCAATGCCAACAGAAAAACAGCCATGTCATTTTTCATGATATCCATACCTGAGCCCGACAGCTTCATCCTTTCTACTAATGATTTCACTCGGCTCTTCAAAGCTTACGCTTCGATTTCTAAATGGTTCATGCTTGTAACTAATATATTTTTCATGAAAATCTTCATATGGTGCATTCCCGTCTGAAGAACTATGAAGAGAATTTACATGAATGAGCATGGAATGGATAGCATGAATACAAGCTTCACTTTAGCTTCAAGAATCTAGTAGCAGTCAAAATGCTAATGGAGACTGCTACTCGAAGTGTTGAGAATTACGATCACCTCCATAATAGAATAAAACTTTCTAAGTAATTTTATACTAACTGCAACTGGAAAATTTGAAATGATTGGTGCAATGTATCCAAATCTATGTGCATTATTCACACTACTGCTTTTAAATACTATTGAACGCAGGCTTACCTAAACGACCCATCAGGTTCAAAAGCAAAAATGCCTTCGTCTTTGATTGGCGTTTGCGTGTAGTTTTGTCCAATGTATTGTCTATACATTGCCTCGCGTTCTCTGTCTTCTCTTGTCATATTTTCTTGGCTTGTGGACATGACAATGGGAGCGTCTTTTACACTGTCGCTACCTGAACCGACTTCGGATTTCCGTCTTAAATAATCAAAATTATGATGATCGTATTTAATTGGTTACAAAAGCATAGATACTGTGAATAATTATAGCTTAATATACCTACTTTGGAATGATTCAATTATGAAAAGTATGAGTTCTTATCTTTCTTAATCACGTATACGAAAGTTTTATTATAATGGCGGTATGCTGCACATTATTTCAGATTTTACGAATTCTATACAAATTAAATAAACACGAACAAAAGAAAATAAAAACCGTTACCAAGTAAATTAAGAATCCACACTTAAAGGCCCATGAGAATTAGTTAGTACATTGCGCAAATGTTATTTTTTCTACTTACACATCTAAAAGAATTTCCCCTTCTGATAAAGTTTTTTGTAAAGTTCTTTTATTTTTTCTTTTTAACGTGGTAAATGGTATTGCCTCGTCGTCGGGTCTAGGTTCAAAGTCTATTATAATTTCTTTTTCATTCTTTTCACTATCATCTGTCGTTGTAGCTGAAGTTTCGGTTGAAGGATCTGACTGAAACGTAGGAGTTTTGGAAAAAGGATGCGATAAATTCATTGTTTTCTGTGAAGCATCACTTGTGCTTTTAGATAATATTGATCGAAGTGACCTTTCACCCTTAGCTTGTTTAGCTATTTCTTGTTGTAAATATTCTAAATTTCTTCTATTTAATGCCATGCTCTTTTCTATTGTTTCCATATCATCGTCGATTGTGTCATCTCGATCACTTTCATGAATAAATTGAAAATTTTGTTGGAAATATTCTTGTGCTTGTCTTTGTAATGCACTCAGTTCTGACGATTTATCTAATTGTGATGAAGCGTTAGATTTGACGGATGAAGAAGTAACCTCATCAGAGTCCATTCTTTGCATGAGAGGTGAGAGCGGTATTGTTGAAGTAGGTGATCTAGGTGACTTTGGTGGTTCCTCAGATTGAGTCCTATGTAGTTTTTCATGGTCATTATTGATAAAACTGAAAAGTTCGAGAAAATTAGTAAAATCGAAGATCAAGAACATTCAAAATAATATAATTTATATGCAAACCTTTCTACTGTTGCATTGATATCATTTGTAGCATCGAGACCCGCTAATCGGTCACCACCAACTTCTGAAAATGATTTTGTAAGTCTTCTAGCTCCTACCGTAAAACCATTGGTCTGTACACCTGCAGCAACCATTTTTACCTGAAATGTGAAATTTATTTTAAACGGTGCATATTCATATATATTGGTATGATCAGCCTTGAATTTGCTATTAAGACTTACCCTTTTAATTGTTCTCGGACTCAAAGATAAATAATTAGGTGGTAATGGTTTCCTTCCTAAACATACTTCGGTTTGTGTAGCTTGAGTCCTCATGACTCCTTTTTTATCTGAAATAGTTTTTCGTTTTAACAATTGTTTATATAATAGTTCATTTCAACAATCATTTTCAAATATTACCTAAAACTAAAACTTTTGGCTCTGCTTGCATTGGTCGTTGAGTTGTTTGCTGTGGAGGTAACTGTGGATTTATCTGTGATGGCAGCTGAGTAGTCATTGGGCCACTTATCTGTGTCTGCATCTGGGATTGGATAGGTGTTGCCATTGGAGGAATTTGACCTGGATAATGTATAGGAGTTGGTCCAGCTGTTGCTATGTATTGAGGATATGGAGGGTATGGTTGGAATATTACTGGAAGTGTGGAATATGGTTTATTTTCCGGCTGCAAATTAATTAAAAAATATATGAATATCGAATTCGTGAAACTGATATTTAATTCATAAAAAATATCAGAGAAAGCTTACATCAATTATTACAAGTATTTTTATTATGAAGGTTTTAGTAAAGTAAAAATTAAAAAAAAAATAGAACAGCATATAATATTACACCCACTTATTTTAAATGTCAAACTGATAGAAATAGTATGTTTATTCAAAAATAACTTCTTTAATGAAATTAGGATCATAGTATAAGATTTATTATTTACTTTGACAGCTGTTCTTCCATCCAATAGCCTTTCACAGTCCCTTCGAAATCTATTGACAGCGGCAGGCATTACTGAGTCGTCAAATGTTGTCAGCGTGTGTGAACGAGCAAAGGACACGTGTTTTGTTCTGAAAAGTTAAAGTTTAGGTACATAAATTAAATAAATGGTCGTATTCAAAACAAGAAACACCTCCTACAGGAATTACTAAATGTGTATTAAATCATACAATTTGGTGTTCACTTATATCATTTTAGGTTCAAAATCAAAATCAAAATTATTTATTCAGTCTAGGACCTTTTTCCGAGAAGAACCGGCAAGAAACTCGGCAGGGATGCTTATTTCTCCCTGTTTTATTTCATACAGAGCGTCAAGATTGAACAGTGACTTCATTAAAATATGAAGTCACTTTCCATTACAATATAAGAAAATATTATAACAATACTAGATAATAAAATATTTTAAAATAAAAAATAAAATAAAAAGTATTTATTTCAATAAATCCATACAAATATGTGGCCGGGGCTTCTCAGAAAGTAGTCTAATGACACTTGTGTTGGGAAAGCCTTTTGTCGTTTAAATATTCATTAACAGTATAATATCCTTTACTGAGTAGTCAATTCTTAATACGGGTTTGAACTTAGGTAAAAAGTGAGTGAATCTGTACTCTCAAAAGTTTTGTAATATGATTAAACGTAATTTAAATTGACTGATGAATTTCAATCATCAACACAAGTTATTAGGTCAACTTTATGATCCCATGAAAAAGTTTAAACTTATGAAGCAACACTCATTAACTAACATTGTTATTTGCTGTAAGTTCCGAAGAGTTTACAAACTAGAAAAAAAATATCAAAAAAGTAACGAGTGATGGAATTAAATTATCTATACGTGTAACATTAACATTAATTTTGGCTGGTTGATGCCACAAAGGTAGGGTTGCTAAAAGGCGTGACTGTGTACAAGTCAGTGTTACATAAATTAGGAGAGAATGCCCACCAAAGCTCACAAAGGATCCATTTGCGTTTTTCTAAATTTTAGTTTACGGCTATAAAAACAACCGAATAAAAGCAAAGAACGATAATTTAATTTCTTTTTTATAAGGTGCACTAAAAATATGAACTGTTAAAGGATCACTTTGTTGTCAGTTTGCATGTCTCTCTGTATATCTGTCTCTCGTCAGAATCATGTACGCAGACCTACAGTCCTTTGAAACTGTGTAAAAAAATAGACGTCATAAAAACGCATATTAAGACATTCTTAAAACAATCAAAATTATCGATTCCCATCGTAAGTAATATTGTTTTATGGTTCAAATTTAGCGAAAAATCCGCGGAACGAAATTCAGAATTGGATCTGCCTTAACATTATTCGAATAAATCTATCCTACGTAAGAAATCCTTGGTGAGGATTCGAGTTTGACTCGCGCAAATGTCCGATTATTTTTTTATTGGCTATTGCTAAATAATAATGACAAATATAGTTAGACAGTATTAGTTCTGATCAAAACGGTCGGTCAAATTGTGTCTATTTGAAGCTTAGTGCTAATGCAAGGAATCGTTTATATATGAAAGTGTCTCATGAAAAACTATATATCTTAAAAGTAACAATTTTACGACACCTTGGTGGCATTGTGAGAGGTGGTGGCGGTGGAGGCGGAGGTATCGGCGGATGTGCAGGACAACTGAAAATCAATAAAATCACATTTTATTCATGAGAAAGTTAATTGATTCCTAAGAAGTTTATAACTCATAGTTGATAGTTATTTAAAAAGTATTTTGGTTTTAAAAAAAATATTCTATTTTTGTTTTGGTTATCTTCATGTTAGTTATTTCAATGATCATTCCTGCCGTAAGATACGGCGGATACGGATACTTTCTCGTAAGATACGGCGTACGTAATTAATTGAAAACATTTATACGTATCAAAGCTTTTTCAAGTTAATGAAAACATATCACGTAATATTTTAGAAGAACTAAGGAGAAAATTAAAATGCTCTTACTAAATTGAAAGAACAATTTGAGCAATATTAGGATACAAAATATGTACAACCTCTAATAGATTCCAGTATAAATTTTCCACGTGTTCTAGTTTTAAATTTCTATTCATTAAATTTTTACATTTAACTTCCTTGCGTTTTTATAGCCTAGAGATATAAATGTATCTACCGTGCAGTATTGTGATGTCGCTTCAATGCTATTGTAACTTAATGAGAGGGGGAATTTTCTTTTGTATGCACTCTATTGTGACAATAATGTACTGGAAAATTCATTTGTGACAAAAAATATTCTTTTTTAGTATTCTAGTAAGTATGGGTAACTGCGATGGCGATGTAGTGGACAACCGCTGCGGACCGCGATCGTTGTTCTTAAGCAAGTTTCGCAAGGGTCGATTACTGGAAAGGTGACCAGAAATTATTATCGCGAGTTACTCCGTGTTTGGAAGTCACGTTAAGCCACGTCACGTTGATCCCGGTTGCGTTTTGGAGTTATTAATACCCTCCAAACCGCATTGGGCCAGCGTGGAGGGTCATGTCCTGGCCCATCTTATATAACCATCCATAAGGAAGTACTGAGTCTCTGCAGTGGCGACGTAAAAAGACTGATGATGACGATTTAAGTCAATTCTTCTTTTATATAACTGTTTTATTTTTTAAAGCATACATCGTAACCAAAGATAATATATCCTTACTCGGTATGCTTCAAAGCAGTTTTTTGCATATACATAGTAAAGAACGTTCGTTCGCAAACATGAATTACACGAAAATAAAGGCTTTGGCAGATTTGATAACACTTAAAGTCAGAGCTTCTCCACAGGTTTAAACAATTCATTTTTTATTAAAAGTAACTTCTATGATAGATATCATTACTAAGAAATTTTAATCTTTTTCCACATACTCCCTATAAAATATATCAATGTATGTTAATGAGGTTAACCGATATACGAGCGACAGTTGAACGACGTTCTTCACGAAACTACTACGTACTGACGACATTGCTGTAAAGGAATGCCATTATGAAGTTGGTCCAAAGTAATTAAAAGTAAGTAATAAAGGATTGTTAAATTTTCAGTATCAAGAATTGTATGTATATTGCAATTCATTTGGGAATGAGATTTCACGAATTGACATTCTTCAATAATATGTGAAAATTAATTACAATCTAGAGACTATAAGTAAATGAGGTCATCAGTATGAAAATAATTCAAACATAATGTATTAGTAACTAGAGAAAAGTATTATCTTCGTAAGATTATTCATTGAATCAAATCCTTTGAATGTTTTTGTGGGACAAACATAGGTTTTTGGATATAGAAATACTGAATAATGTATTATCTACATAGTTATGTGAAACGATGTATTAAATAATAAAATATTGAGAGTCTCATCATCTTTATATTAAAGGACATGGGTGTTCTATGAGAAACATGCGGAAGCTAAAAACTTAAAACCTTGCACTTGGGATGACAATTTATTGTAAATCATGGGTGACCCTAACGTTAAAGCAATTAGAGGATTCTCTTAATATTCTGTAAAAGGACAAACATTGCTACTGTGACCAACTGGCTGCTAATGAGATTCTAAGTTAGTTTATTTATTTCAAAAGCATTTTTAGTAGAATATATTAAGTCCTCATTTGACGTTTGAATGTAATAGCAGTTTAATCAACAAAATAATGTAACAATATTCAACATGCCCAGATGATACAAACGAAGTTATTATGATACTTAAAAGTATATCATTTGAAATGTCATATCACTTACGTAGTATTTGTTTACCTAATAAGACGGACAAATTATTGACTTGTATAGATGAATGATGATGCTTCAGTATCAGTTTTAAAGATGTATGTATGGACAGTACTCTATCAGTCCTCTCTGCCTACACCGCATATAGATACGGCGTAAAGATATAGATATATAGGTAGTATATTTATGTATTATTTTAAAAAAAACATATTGTAAATACATAAATATTATGAACACGGTTTGAATACGCCAGTGGTTTCTTTTTATTTTTAAACCGAAGCTGGAAATAAGATCGTCATATATTATTCTGATATTATAACTGGCTTGGTCTTTACTAATATTATAAACAGATATTTATGTCAAAATATGGGAAGGTTCAATATGGTTTTCTATATGGAGATAGACAGTGGCACGTGATGTAGGTCACTTTTTATCCGGTAAAAGGATTGGGATTGCGACTCCTTAGTCTCAACGAGGGTGAAAGCTTCCGGTTTTTTAGCTAACAAAACCTGTCCTATTATATCTCCCAAAAGTATCAATTTCAAATCCATTTGTGTTACTAATTATTTTGAACAGTCACATAACACTTAATATACAAAACTTTTTATTCCCATAATATACTATGTATAAGAATTAGCGTATTTGACCTGCGATGCATGTGAGTTTCGGAAGGCCGCATTGGGCCCCAAGTGGTGAGTTTTTCCCCTTATTTATTCCATCCAAGGCCTGTACCGCACTATTAATATCTGAGACGTAGGCATTTATACTTCAATTTCTTTAACCTGATTGAAGTAAAATACTTACGGTAACAATGACGGTGGTCTTGGTAGCGAGCCTCCGCGAGTTACAGACGCCATTTTGTCGGCGCTGTAGTTCTGCGGCCATCCCGCGGCATCTTCTATTACCGATCTAAAGGCAAAAATCCATAAAAACTAAATCGGAACCGATACTGAATTTATCGATCTAGATACAAACATTTTTGTGTTTTTACTCACTGAGGTAAACTTTAAAAGTAATATTGTATTTTACTACCAAGGACAATGTATCGATGGTTTGAGTATTGTTTTCCCAATTTTCCTCGAGCAACCTAGATAAAATTATACATAGAATTAGCCATCAAAGTGAAACTAATCAACAATAATTAACTTAACAAAGTTTTGTGAAGCCTACGTTAACTTTCTAATTGTAGTTCCATAATTGTTAAAAGTAGTAAGTAGGTGTGACTTCATGTCACAATGAACCCACGCTTCTATTTTAAGAATCGAATATCTTACACATATAAATATCAAACATAAAAAATATTTTAAAGTAATGAAGTTTAATCAAGTATAATGTTGATATAACAATGCTATTACATCTAATAAGTCCATCTAAATGCCTTAAGACATTCAGAGGGACTCGTTATGAATATTTTTTTTGCAAACAATCGCTCGAACATCACCGTTTGCTCAACATATTAACGCCAGACGCAATCCCTCACAGTACCACTTGTCACAATAAATTATTTGTGGAAAAGAACTTCCTAACAAGCGGCTACGTTGAAATCAATTATGCGGAAGGCAAAGTTGTCGAGATAATGAACCTTTTTCTGGTACGGTTATGTAAATCGCGAAGGTAGTACAAGCACTTTGCAGTCATTTGTGCGTACCCAAAGATGCCTTGAAAGAGCATTACGCTACTCATTTTATTTTTCAACTTTAGAAGAGGATGGTGCATTAAGGATTTATATATTTTCTGGTGGAAGAAATATTTTTTAAGTTGACTTCATTTTATAGAATAATGTACGACTATTTACCTTTTATTAAATTAAATGTACACTAAAGTCGCTATCTCTGAGGTCTCAGATTAGATTCCCAGTAAGATCAAGTAGGTATCAAGTTTTTTTTTTTTTCTATATTTTTATGGGTCTGGGTGTTGTGTATGTAACTTAATTTGAGATCTGAGCAATGTATGCATACCAAAAACTTCTGAATCCACATTTTTTATATGACGAAACATTTACTTATTATTTTATTACTATTAATTTGGCATTCACAATGCTTTGATCTTGTAAATAACAATTGATGTTTTCGATCAGGCAAAAGTAAATCGTATTGCTTAAAGTTAGTAAATGAACCGCAATTTAGAAGACCAATTTAATTTTGTCTTGTTTTCGTCTCACAAATTAACAAATTCAGAGAGCAACTTATTTTTCGACCTAAATTATTCAAATTCAAACCCTTTTGTAATATTAACTCTCAGTACTTTATTATTTTAAACTTTTATACATTAACGAACTCTTATCTGGAGTAATTTAATCAATTTGTCATTGAATGATTATTATCTCGTATCCCTCATCTACAAAGGACACAATGGACAAGAACAACAACTGAATTTTATTAGCTTTCAAAATAATAACTGTTATTTTGAAACTTACCCCGCAAGGGATACGGCGTGAGAAGATCGATTTTATGTATTAAACAGAAACTATAGAAATCGAATAATTTGAAGTAATCAAAGAAAGGCCCATGTGAGTTCTTTGGGCAAAACGTACAGTACATAATTTTAGTAAATTTAAAACCGGTTTGTATTTTTAATTACAAAATAAAATGGGATACATTTTTATTTTATTCATAGGTCCTAGTCCAACCTAGCACTAAATCGGTTGTTTCATGTCCAGACACATTGCGCGGATTAAAATTATACGAAAAACATTATGCTGTGATGGAAGGAATGCCCTAAAAATTCATATAAAATTTATTTTCTTTGAGAGCTATTAAATATATGTATAGCGGAGAAGGTAAAAGTAAATATTTATGATGTTCTCATTTTTGCAACACTTACGGTGACCACTCCAGCCGGGTGAAGTCTTCATCCTCTGGCATCCAGGTGTACCTCTTGGGGTCAGGCTGGCTACACACGGAGCGTGGACGGCGGCGAAAGTATGAGCATTCCAGGTCGGCATCGTGTGCAGACAACTCGGGTGGGGCGGGTGTGGGCTGGCTAAACCTACATAAAACAATTTAAAGCCATTATCACTGGTAATCATCCCTCCCACCCTCCGTAGAAGGCATCACCACGACCTGGGCTCGAATTCCAATCAGGTCAATCTAGAAGATGAACAGTTCTATATTGTTTTTATTGTTTTCTTATACTTTTGCTATATCAGATTTCCATAACACAAATGCTTTAACTATTGCTACGTTATTACAAGCAATAAAACAAATGTCCATGCTAAATGATATAATTTTTATCATCATTAACAAACAATTTTTATTCTGTTTATTAATTATATAGCAAAAAGCGATTTTTATACTGATTAGTCATTATTTATAGAACTAATAGTGTATAGAATTAAGCTACAATTCCGTCCTTAGACGAAGTAAATGTAGGATTGCAAGTATTTGTAGCAGGTATGTTATTTTATATAAGCTTTTTAAATTGAATATATAAGTACCTAATGTACTTTCAACAAAAACACTGAACTGAATATTATTTATTCGTTCAGGGCTAAAGCACCAGTTTTATGTGCAATAATCATTAAATTTTGATCGCTTTAGCTACCGAATTTGGCAAGATTGTGATGGCAAACTCTGTCAAGACTGCAGCCCCTGGACAACCAAAAATCTTGAAATTTTTAAAATGTCTACAAACAAGTGCATTAATATTAATAAATTATTATTGAAAGAATGAACTATTCTCTTTTTCATAAAATTTTACTATAACTAGAATCTGTGACACAGATGGAATAGAAAGTAAAGCACTCAAACTGCCACATCTATCACAGCACTCACTGCCATTTCATCTTGGCAAATCGCCGGTGTATTATTGTTATATTATTATGAGTTTGCAGGTCAAATATAACACTGAGGGTTTGATTTATTTTTAAAAAGTTATATATCCATTTGCACAAATGGCCATTAAGCTTGAATTAAACTTTAACGGCTAATGAATGTTTTAAATAAAAAAAATGTATCGGTAATGTCTTCATAGTGTAATGAAAATTTTAATTAATGATAAATTTAAGGTTAAATCTATCTATCCATATCTTCACGCTGTACCCCTTGCAGGGTAGGCAGTGAGGTCTGAAAGCCACAAAAAATGGAATTTTCTTTGTAGCTTTCGGATGCAATAAGATATATCTTTAAAGGTTAATTTAAAGGTTCAGCTGTAAAGATTCAATTTAAAGGTTAAATACTTAATATAACATTTAGTTTTGGGGGCGATAAGTCGATCTATCTAGGTTTAATTTACTACAAAAAAAAATACCGCTCATCTAGGTACTCAAATATTTATACGAGATTTATTGATATTATGACTATATTTTGTAATATATATTACAATATATCTTTGAATGTCGTTATTAAAATCGAAATCTTAACAGCTATTATTTCAGAAATTGTTCCTTAAGTTCTCTGTCACCATCAATCGATGGCATTCAGAAAGAATTATTAGACTTAAACACCTACTCCATAAGACTGAGGCTTTACTCAGTCTGTATTCCAGCTGCTTAGTTTTTGGTACTTAGAAATACTTATTAAATTACTTGTTGAGCAATAATCTAAAGCAGTTTTAAAAATAGAACTTTCATTTATCATTGCTTAACTTAGATAGATCTATACCGGTCTCATAGTAGGTCCATCGCACATTTTAGAAACACATAATATAACACTTACTATTCCTCAAATTTCATAATACAGGCAGATTAATAATAAAATCATATACTTGTGATTATTAATATTAAAACTCATAATATAGGCCCCTTTATGATCAAATTAATATAAGGGAAGCGAAAGATATAATGTAAAAACCACGCCTTGTTGCTCATGATCGCTTCTGCTTACCCCACAAGCAAATTTTTCATAGTATTTTCATTTCATATATTTACCATATTATACTAACCCGATCATGAAAAAATCTATCACCTATGGGAAACTTCATACGCTAGTAACGTATGCTGTAATTTATGCGGGCTAAATCGCTAGTTATCAATAAAAATTGACTGCACTATTCACTAAGTCAGACAATACTATTATTGTCAAAACCTCTACAAAAATATTCTTAAATAAAATCTAAACTCTATATATTACATACAATATTTTGAATATTGTGAATCTTTACTTTATGTAATGTAATGCAATCACAGCGAGGCGGTTCTCTTTATCACCCCACTCCATGTTAATATCACATGTATTGGCGCGAAAATAAGAAAAGACAATGAACAATTATAAAAAATTATACGTTCGAAATTCAAAAGTAATAATTTGTTTATTTTTAATTCTAATAGTCTTTATGGCCAGACTAAGTATACTAAATTATAAATTTTGCCGTCAAGAATACTGCTTAAGCTATCCATCATCCTTTTGACTCATACTTTCTGTGGCCAGTATACACATATATGAAAATTAAATAAAATAGTGTACCTTGGATATCTCTGTATTGGGGCATAATCGGAGTTGAGATTTTCATCTGAGGGCACTCTACGACGGACGCACACGGACAGAAATGATGATCTGAAAAAAGCCGTATTTATTTATTTCACATGGTCATAAGCAAATTATTTTATGTGTTGTATGAGTTCGATAAAATATTAAAAATAACTCTCTCATTACTATTAACCCGAGTAAATAGCTGTGGTAGTTCCTATGTTTGTTTGCAGGGGTTAATCTTCGGAAATAAGTACTGATCCGATAATTAATTAACGTGGAAAAACATATGGTGAGATCGTAAATTTTAATTATAACGATTAATTGGTTAATATGTTTTCTATTATCTTTTTTGATGTAAAATTTCCGAAAAGTATCAGTATATTTAAGTTTTCTAGGGCAAGTCTTTTATGAATAATGTTGACGCTTGAAAAGACAAGATTTTGACTCGAACAGCATAAATCGGATACACGCTCTTAATTAATCGTGGCTGGCTGGCTGGCTTGAAAATTATTAATCCCCATTTTGTGACGTTCGCCATATTGTATTAAGAAAAACGACACATCACTTATAATATCAGGATCATTAAACCTTTGTTGATGACCTCAGTAAGGGTATTGCAGATACTTTTGAATCATACCTTACCATTTTATGACATGGCAATGATATGACTTGGAAAGGTGACGTTAAGGTTTTTCTTCGCTTTCGCTTGACTGATTGGAGTTAATTAGTTCGAAATTCGGTTTTAAGTTTATCACACTAATTGAATGAAGTAATAATAGCTTCTGAAAATAGTAACCATAATTTTAAAAGCAGCAATTTTTTTTGTAATGTTATTCATACTCTTGGTTACTTTGACTGAAAATAATGTAGTGTTTGAACTCATCTACAGTATAACCAAAGTAAGAGACAAATGAAGAATATGAAAACTAATAAAAAAATAAATTTCTAACATAACACAAGATTATTCAGTACCATACAATATTATATATTTATTATATTTGAGTCCCATCTCAGAGTGCCAGGGACAATGTGGATTTGTAAGCATTTTTCATTAAGTAATTTTATACACAAATATAATATCTTTCTTGTCTTTAGATCAAAATCTAAACTAGCTTTTATTCAGCTGTATATTTAAAGTCATTACATTAAGAGAGGTTTGTGATTTTGTTTTAAATTTTATATTGTTTCAAATCGATATACGATAACAAAAGAAACTTTAAATCATATCCAAACATCTATGTAATCGGTTCGTCGAGCTTTACGAGCTGCAAAATGTGAACCTGATGAAAAACTCATAAATCACTCGACTGTAATATGATCGCGCAAATTATGGCAAGAACGCCGTTGGAATGACGAACTTAGGAAATAAAAATTTCCCAAAAAAAATATTCAAGCGTCGTCTCTTACCCCCGCCTGCCCTTAATACGATTACAAGGGCGCAGAATAATAAAACGCTCAATTTGTTACCTTTACCTTCGGAAAGGGCCCCCCATTTATAGTGGAAATCAAGTTTGTTGCCAGATTTGTAAGAATTAGGAAAGTCGTACCTATTTATTAGGCTTCAGACAAAAGGTGAAGATTAGAAAGGAGGTCCTTTAGAGCCCTAAAGGGAACTTACTGGATATGAAGAAGTTGATGGAAAAAGTTTAAATTGATTGTAACGACTTACAGACACGAACAACTAAGTATTGGACCTGTATAGAAAAAAAAAATATAATGGGGGCTACTGACACTTGCTATTTATTTAATTGAAAGTTTCATTGTATACTCAGGTAATAAACTTGAGTATGACTGACTTGACTGTCTTTTATCTATTGTTCTACGCCTGGCAGGTATTTTTTACTCGAAATAAGCAGTGCCCTTGTTAAAATGAGTGTAAAAAACAATTAAATAAATGTAATCTAGTTTCATGATGGTCAAAAGTAAACAATATGTACAATTCTGCTTGAGTAGAGAATTCAAATAGATATTAATGGAAAAACTTCACCAACGGCGAAAGTATTACAATTTTACACTGTCACTGTTATTCAATTACCGAAAAACACGGGATCAAACCCTGTTTCGATTACTTGAGTTTTGTTATCTTAAGTAATTTTCTGTAATATACAAAATCAAAAATAATAATTCCGTATTAATGAAAATTTGACATCTTTTATATGTCGCATCATCATTACGAAGATCGTTTGATTTAGTTTCTTTTATTTTAATTGCTAGTTACTCGATTACTTAATTACTCGATTGTAAAGAGAGCGTGATCTTCGATACTTTTAATTTTATTAGAATGGTGACACTGACTTTGACAGTTTGCTTATAAAAATCAAGTTGCCGCCATTTTGCATACATTCTGTTTCCAAACGCCGAGGACTAAAGACATCCGATGACATCACGCTCATCTTGTTATATTTTCGTACGAAAAGTGATAAAATGTAACAAATTCACGTTGGTATACACGCCTGCAGAGTTATTTTAAAGATAGTACTCCGATATGGACGATCTATTTGGGCTTCGTAATAGCCCCTTCGGACTACCCGCCGTTATATATAATACGAGTAAGTTTGCAATCATCGCACATATCTTTTTCTACATCAGAGTGATTTAAGAGGAAGGTTTACATAACACAGGACCATGCGAGCGAAGCCGCTGGCGGAAAACTAGTAGGTATAATACAAAAATTGAATATTGTAGGGTGAATAACTTGATGGAGCTTTTCCAAAAGATCTGATATTTTATTTGCATGACCCACGATATAATTACGTGTATTGATAAACCGAACAATTCTATTCCCTTTTGGTAGTTTGTCTATTTCGAGAAATTTTTATATGTGAAGGAAAGCTAACGTATAAGTGACCAGGGCGCAATAATTTTAACAAATAGAACACAGAAATAGGAAACCGTACGTTATCGCTCTAGGAATTGGTCACTGGAGACCGATTGATGAAAAAACATCGAGCTATAATATTGGACCCTTGGATGTTGATAGCAAAAAATTTATTCGGGTAGCTATGTAGGGTTTCTGTTTTTTATTGCTTAAGCAACTGTTGTGGTCAAAACGTAGTAGTTTAAAACTTGTCGGTACTAACATACGTTGGTACAATCTACAAATCCATACTGAACACAAACAGTTACACCTATTTAGATGATTCAATAAATAATAAATATTAAATAACATCACATACATTGCTCAGATTCCAAGATGAGTAGCTAAAGACCCCGTATTTTGGAGTATCTGAGACAACGAAGGTACCACAACACCCAGACCCGAGTCAATATAGAAAAGTTCATTTTCTACATTGACCCGACCGGGAATCGAACCCGGGACCTCAGAGATGGCGACACCTTGAAACCGGCGTGCGAACCACTCGGCTACGGGATATAAGACATTTGTGTTTATCAACAATCTAATTCTATCAAAATATACTTTATTCTTCCATGATTTCAGGAGCAGTAAGTCACACAACCATATTATAATTACAATCGAGGTTATTATTGTGATATTCACGAACAATTTTGGCATATTTTGTACTTAAAATATAAGTTTACCTGTTTATGATAACAGTCACTCTGAAATGACGACCTTAACTATATGTAATAAAGTTACAAACCTATTGGTTCTGGAGCAGGGACTCTCAATATGGTACTGAGAGAGGCATCCGAGGAATCGCTCCTTCTTGGACTTCTCCAATTCCAGCAGATCCAGTTGTTTGGTGTTGATGCAGTACTGCTCCCGGAATTCCTATTGGTGTACAATATTATTAGCTCGATATGTGACATAATTGTATAACAGATAAATACAAGTAAAATTCATAATAACTCATAAGTACTTAGGTACATCATCGATACCTGGAGTAGATAGATAACACCATTTGGAGGAAACTGACATAAACCAAACATTAATAAAGTTACGAATTAAAAATGTAGGCTCCTTCATGATACAAATGAACGTGTTTTGAGTCTTATTTGTGTCAATTTTGAAACATAACAAATATTTAAGGTACTCGTAATATTTAAATCATAAACAAGAATGGCAAAGTCTTTGGTAGATGTAAATATTTGTCAATCTAACTTGATATACCTACATAATGTTTTTACTATCCAAAACATAATTTTTCACAATACACAGATATAGAGAAGGAAAAGTTAATGTATTAGCACACTTTATAAAGTTTACATGTCTTTATAAGCATGGAATACAATAAAAACTGAGTTTAGTAAATAAAGCAAAAAGCTTAGCTGCGTATTGTAGTTGAACGTTAACTCTTCCTGCGTCGCTAGCGGTACAGACGGCGACGCGGCACGTCGTCTTGCTACTCGCGCGTGCGCGTACCATATCGTGCACGTTTGCATAAATTGTGCAATCATTAGTGTGTAGATCATGTCGATATATCGAAAAAATAGTTTAGACTATATTATGAAAATATACCTAATGTAATCATTAAGATTATAGGAGTATTATAAAGTTAAATAGATATACTTATATCTTTTATAAATATTATTAACAGTACTTATAACTATAGATATGTTGAGGTGTAATTTTTAGATATAAACAAGCGCCGCGGATCCTTATCGTTGTTGCTAAGCAGCTTTCCCAAGGGTTGGTCACGGGATGGGCGATTATTTTTTCGAGTTACTCCGTGCTACGGAAGGCACGTTGTAATGGTGCGTCGTATCACCGATAGTTCATTTCGTCTTAGGTCTTTAATCTTCAACATCATTTCTTTTTATTATTCACCTTTTACGAAAGGTGAATAATAAAAAGAGCATATTGATGCTCTTTATGAATGTCAGTTTGTAAAATCATCTGGTGAGAACATGATAACTTAATCATATAAATCTAATAATAATAAAGTTATTATAATTTGAATAAGAAAAATGTAAACGTATATTTTCGTGAAATATCTACTAAGTTTTATCTATCACAGAAAACCCAGAAACGGGTTTTTCTTATTACCCTCTCATAAATCAAGTTTTCAAGCTTAGCCAATCTTTTATTCATTTGCCTAAGCATCGAACCCGTTACAACGTTAAGCGGTTGGTACCAGCACCTCCAGTGGGGACATAAAAGACATAGCTAATGATGATAATTAAGAAGAAGAAGAAATGGTGAGATACTTAAATAGAAAACAAACCTGTTTCGAGTACATGTTGATTTTCCCAGCTGGCCGTTCCTCGATGGCCCTCTGCCTGTTTCTGCTGACGTTCTCATCCTCTGACTCGTAGCCTTTGCCCGAATGTGCTATATCCGCCTGATGACAAAATAATACTCGTTATAATTTAATAGAAGATCCATCTTGGATACGTAATCTAGTGAACCACGATCCGAAATCGTAAAACCGATAGATGGCGTTGTTTATACTTAGATCGCGCTATCATTTATTGGCCTTAGATAATTTTCCGTATCGTGATACTGGAATTTGAGGATTTCGATACCGTTCTGAGCTCTCAATATTTTTTCCTTCTTAATAAACGTACGTACTTTTTTTAGTAGACGGACATTTGACCCCTGATAACAAAGAGTGTGTATGCTGTGCTGGTGTGTGACTGTGTGTTAAACTTAAGAAAAAGCATTAGCGCGAAATTTCTAGAATTTTTCTTTACTCGCAATGAATCAGTGACAGTAATATAAATTTCACAATCGAAGTGCAAAGTAGACTGTATACACAGCGGCAAAAAATCAATAATAAGTCGTTTTCTATTAACTACCCCGCCCGCTAAAGCTCGGAAGTAAAACTACCTCGTAATAATGGGTCATTTTAGCCTTTTATAAACAAACTACTATCCATTTAATTTGGTTCCGACAAACAATGTTCATTATAATATTACCCCACAATAATAATATCACTATGGTATAACAGAAAGGTAATGAACTATGAACATATTTTTCACCTTACCCCTAGGTAACGAAAAGCCGAGCCACGTGCTTTAACTAAAGTGTAATTTGTGAAATAAGGGCTCGTAGAGTTATGGTATGTAGAGTTAAAAGCTTGACTCTACAGAAGATCTGATAGCCTATTGACATTGTGATTTATATTGCCGAGTTAAGATGCTTGGCAACATTCAACTTGAATTTTGGTGAGATTATGTATTACTGAAATTTATTGTTAATGTATGTAAATCTCTTGAGAAGAGAGTGGTAATAACATTAGGTTAAACAACTTTCTCAAGAGCCAGACATAGAATGGGTGAACATAAAATGTATTAACTTGAGCTCCTCTATGCTTGCGAAAAACACGTTAAGTCACTGGTCCCGGCTGTATCTGTAATCATTAGCACTCACTTATATGCGCTGGGCACTCCATATTCGATTGCATCCATAAGAAAGACCTGAGCCCCAACAGCAGTAGAGGACATTAGTAGGCTGATGGATCATGCTCATAATTTTAGCTTAACACTGTTCAAAGGCCTTCCCCAAAAACCGCCAAGTCGATTGGTCGCACGCGGTCCATATCCAACGCTTCCTAGCAATCGTGATCAGATCAAGGGTAAATTATGTATGATAATTGTAATGTGCTGAATAATGTCAAAGTATGTGTGTCTTTGTATAATTATTATATTATTTAACGGTTCATATTTCATTCACGGCATTAAGACGTTGAATGTGAAATTTCATACTCAGCACTGTGAAGAGACAGAAGTTATATGTACATTATATTTAGTGTCATTCTATCTTACATCGTTGTTAATAGCTTGTCAACAGTTCATCCGTTTCATATAAGGCAATCTATCACTACGCCCCGAGGTATGGCTCTGTAAGGCGTCTTAACTACTATATCACCGGTAAATAACGTATATTTTGAAAATAATGAAAAGAAATTGGAAACATTCTAACGTAATAAAATGCAGTAAAAGTGCCCAGGATATAAAAGAATGTCGTGCTTTTTAATGCCGGAGGAATAATAAAGATTTTTTAATACAAGTTTATTTGTATGAAATATTAATGATTTTTTTAATTGTTCGCATACCTAGCCTTGAAACTTCTGAACCGATTTTAAAAATACTTTTATCAACGAGAAACTACAATATACACGGGTAACAAAGGCTATAATTTACACGAGCGCAGTCTAAGTAAACGACTAGTAATAATATACATTCTTATAAATTTTTGATCAAATCTGAACACTACAAAAAATATACACTATTTAAAATATGTGATAATTAAAGTAATCAAAATAACATTAGCAATTAGATTATTGAAAATGAAAACAATTCTAATAATAAAGTTTAAATTATACAGCAGGTATTAATGACTTGATTTCAAAGAAGACTAGAACGGAATCAAACGAAAGTTTTGTTAATAGGTGCTCGAGTCTGGCCATTTGCATTCTAGATCGATGCTATCTGCTTCTTTTCAATGGATATTTGATTGCATTTCTGAATTGAAACGGAAAAGCGTTGGCAATTTTGTGACGGTCGAGTTCCCGTGAATAGACATTTGAAATCGGACTGAAACTGGAAAAGTGGTTACTAATGAACTTACTAAAGATAAAATAAAGTCTGCTATTGTTTTTATAAATGTTTCTTTAATTATCTTACATGTTTTTGTATCAAAGCATAACATTTATATTCTTTTGAACAAAGTTTAAGGTCCGATCTAGCTATCAGTAACAGTCTGTAAGATAAACAAGGATTCAAATAATTTGAATTCAAATTTAAATAGAATTTTCTCTATGGAGTTTGTTGAAAGATGATGATTTTGTTTAAGTAGTATTTAATCAAAGTAGCTTTTACAACTGTAGCATTTGAAATAAAGTGTCTATAATACCTTAATAGTATTTATGAATTACTTTTTAGTACTGTCCTAAAGAGAAGCTATAGAGCTTGCCTGGAAAATATTGCTGCTTAGAAATAACATGCCCCCTTGCCTTTTGTGTACAATTTTATACACAAAAGGCAAGGGGGTGGAAATCAGGCCATGAGTAATTCAATCATGCGCCCGTTGTACAGTTGAAATTAGAGTTGCTTTCTACGTTGGTATGTAATATAAAACTTCTTTTGATTTTCCCGCAAAAAACATTCGAATAAATATGTGTAAGGCAATAGTTTGATGTCACTCATTTATTTTTGTATCATAGGGTAGTTCGTTATTCACCGTTCCTGCCGTAACAGGCTACAACGTGTGGAATAGAGATTTTTTTTTTACTTTGACTTTTGTGTCTACTGATAGATATCGTAAACAATATAGATTCACTTTGCTATGACAAAATTGGCTAGATACATCTGCGCGAACGCAATAGCACCATGTTTACACATGAGTAAAAGAGATGCGTAATCCTATAAGTTAACAGCGTAACAACACATTTTCCACTTTATTTTAAACGAAATATTTTTTTTTTGTATTCACGTCACACGCTAGTAAATATGGATTTCTGTTGAGGGTTGTAGTTTGATGAGGTTTGTTTATTACGTGCGTGTGAAGTCATCCACAGCGTATGAGAGAAACAGCGTTTTTCACGCGGTTTCAGAAATTTTAACTTAAACTTTGATTTTTATTGATTATTACAGTAAATTTCCGCGAAATATTAATGTAATGTGTTTATTATGTAATAAAGAATAATTTAAAATGATTTTTCAAAATTAATCAAATACCTTATTAGTTCAACCGGTTGAACTAATAGGACTATGATACCCAGTAGTGACCTTTTCTTTGACACTGGGAAATGCATTACTGCATACCCCGGTTCGCCAGCGCGACTAACCGGGGTTATGTAAGGCTCCCCCTTGCGGACCTAACCCAGAATGAAAGGCGACGCACGGGATCGGCACGGAGGGCATACACCGCGCGGTTCGCCCCGTATCGGTTCGCCCCCGTTTCGGTCCGCCCTGAAAAGGGCAAATCGGCCTCCGGGTTGGGAGTATGTCTCGTATGTCTCAGAGGCATTCGACACACCCCAAAACTGGGACCTACGTATTAATTCTTTTAACGGTTGAACTACTGAAATTCATTGTTTTTTACTTGGTGTAGGGGAGACCTAGGAGAGTTGTGACAATTTTTACATAAGGGGCTCTATCTCGCTTAAGAAACATTCCACAGTTATGACTCATGTGAATTAGTTTAGCGTCATTCCTTCTGTTTTTAAAACCATCACTAAAATTAATTAAAGTATAATAGTTTCTGAAAAAAATAACAAAATTCAAGTCCACTCCCCTTGTCACAACTCTCCTACCACCCAGGTAAGTTGTGACAGGTACCGAGGTAAGTTGTGACATCATTGTATTTAAGCTATAAGATATAAAAATACCATTACATACGACATAAATAAATCAAGCACGTTTTTTTTTTATAAATCAGTACTATAATAATAAATTTGACTTGGAAAACACACACTGAACATGTTTGCAAAAAGTTGTCCCAGTATTCTTGTGCACTGTACAAACTTAGTAGGATCGCGAATCAGTGCACGGTCCTTACAGCTTATCACGCGTACGTAGTTTCTACTGTTCGATACGGTTATATGTTATGATTATATTTTGGGGATATTCGACTGATTCTGTAACTGCCTTTAAAGCCCAGAAAAAATGTGTTAAGAGCATATTTTATTAAACTAAATATTATGACCCTGCCATCAATCTATATATTCGAAGTTGGTATTTTTGTCAAACAGGATCAACAACTATTTGAAAATAAGACGAGATTGCATCATCGAGACAAATTGTGTAGGATACCCTCTAAGACAGCGCAGTTGAACAAAAGTATCTTTTGTATGGCTCCAAAAATTTTTGATAAAATTCCAAAAACAATACGTAATCTGGATAATTGTAATGTTTTTAAAAGAAAACTTTATAAATTATTAGTAGCTAAAACATATTATAGTGTAAATGAGTATCTAGCTGACAGTACTTTGTAAATGTAAAATACTTAATGAATTAGTTGAATTTTTGACATAATATGTTATTGATTAGATTAGTTGACAATTACTAACCTACAAATATTGTATGCTTTTTAGGCAGATCACGGTGTAACTATTCAGTCCTTGCATCCAATATCTTTATATAATCTGCGATCAATAATAAAGATTGATTTGATTTGATTAATCATCTTTTAATACCTACCAACTAAAACAACATAGTATTAATATTAATACTACAATAATATATTGATCTCAAAGCGATACAATATTTAGTTAATGAAAATATTATAATTACTTGTTATGAGAATATTCTCATCAGTATAAAATCTTAATCTAATCAGATTCACATTTATGCCAAACGTAATGAAGTTCGTCCCCAGTACAATCTAACTGTGCCT